AAACACATTTCTGTGTGGATTTTAAAGAGAAAAAATGATAAAATAAAAGAACCACAAAATTTTAATTTGCGGTTTCCAAAGACACTCAAACTTTGGAAATCAACAAACTTTAGCGGCTATTTTCTCATAGACACCAGGAAACCCCCACCTCCTTCAATCACAAATATCTTGACTTCAACCCGAGAAAGATGGGCATTTTTTTTAGCAAGACAAATGAACAAGCTTTAAAATGATACCAATAACTCCATAATATGTATTAAAAAAAAAAAATTCACCACATCGCAACATATATACGGATATTAAAAAAAAGAAATGCAGTGGGGATAACAGAAAGAAAGAGAGATGACAAAGATGAAGACAAAACCAAAGCTACGCCAGTATGCCATACAGTGTGAAGGGCGTATTCCACCCTCCCACCCTATTTTGCACTTCCCCGCCCCATCATCTCATCCCATCTCATTTATTTTTTATTTAGTAGAGGTTTTACGGCACACGCAGCTGCATAAGGTCATATGAGCGCCAAGGGGTGGATGTCAACAGAGAAGTCTTTTCAGGGAATCAGGTTCACTCTGCTCACCTCTCTAGCTTCAACAGCACAAGGTCTGCTTCGACTATCAGGGCACCCCGGAAATAGCAGGTCACAAGAGTGCGACAAACATACAAAAGAGGTAGAGGAAAAATTACAATAGTAAGGATTAGGAAAAAAAAAGCAGCAGTTCCCTGTAGTAGATCAGGCACAGTTATGAGCGTGACATGAGTCAGCCCATTTACAATTCTACTGTGCTTGAACGGGAAATGTCCCCCCTTTGGGAATGGCCTGAAGACACTTCGGTCAGTGGCACCGCCCCGAGGGGTAATCCCATCTCAGCCTTAAAAAGTCTGTTGATATATAAAATCTTTCATGTCCATTCTTAATAATTACAAGTCTAACTTTTATCCCACACACAAAGTTTACGACAAATTATGTACTTAAATCAACATATTCAACCTCATCCACTTCAAAGTCTTAACAGCATAATCATAAGACAGGGAAGAAAATATGACGTAAAAGAACACACACAAAGAAAACAAGATGGAACACACGACATAATGCATGAAAATGATTAAAACTTCATTAAGAGTGAAAAGCCAGCACATTGAAGAAAATGTTTGAAGATACTGGGTGAATTATGCACAAAAAAATTATGACTCTTTCTGTGCTCAAATACATTCAATATGGTACAGAATGCAGAGTACATCAAATACACTGTGCTTCCTGCAGTTCAAAACACTGGAAATGTTCAACTTGCATTGATAAGTAACAACTCCATTCGCGGCGACATTTCACCCATGCTCCGTCCAATTGTTGGGACCCCTGCCGTCAGTCACACACATTCCTTCCCCCCCATCCATCTCTTTCTGCCAACTTCTCCATCTGTCAGCTGTCAGTCTGTTCATTTCTGTCTTTCCACCCCCCCCCCCTTTCATATCAATAATTTTAATAATAATAATAATAACAATAACAATAAATAGCATTTGTATAGCGCATATCCCCGCTCGACAGCAAGCTCTATGCACTTTACCTCAGCAGACCATGAAGCACTCAGAAAAATTCTCAGCTTCCCGGGTAGCATACAGTACAAGCAGCAGATTAAGCGCTCAAACAAACAGACCAGATCTTTCACTGTCTAATAGTAGCTGGGTACCCATTCCAACTTGGGTGAAGTGAGGAAAATTCTTGAAAAGTGTTTTTCCCAAGGACCCAACATTGGGTCCCGACAGGATTCGAACCCATGACCTTATTGTTGCAAGTCTGAGAGCCTAGCCACCAGGCCACAGACGCCACAGAGTGTGCCTGTCTTTCTTTCTCTACCTGCTCTTCTGTCTGACTGACAAGACTGTGTGGTAAGATAGAACACACAAAATGCATGAAAATGTAAGACTTCATTGAGATTTATTTCTTTTGAGTCAGTCTGTCAGTCAGTCAGTCTGTCTGTCTCTGTCCTCCGGGCTCCCCTGTCTTCACTGTCTCTTTCTACTCCACAACGCTGTACTTACTGCAGACTCTCTGTCTGTCTGTCTGTCTGTCTGTCTGTCTGTCTGTCTGTCTGTCCCTCCCTCTCTCTCTCTCTCTCTCTCTTTCTCTCTCTCTCTCTCTTACTACCTGACACACACACACACACACACACACACACACACACACACACACACTTACAAGCAAGCAAAGATTAACACACAAATCACCTAAGTAACAGGATCAATAAGTTAAGTATACCAATGTACATCACTACAACAATGATGGGCATCATGAACACATTTCCCCTCCTCCAGCGGTACCACCACTCAATCACCTCGTCTCGTCTACCACATTGGGTCGCATCAAAATCTACCACATCGGGTCGCGTCATCAAAAACTACGAGGAGCCAGCTTATATTTATCACATGAAATTCTGAAAGAATGTCGGCACCGGTTAAGATTTGCCGTCCCGTCGATATGTTGGTTCACTTAAATCAGCAACCTGAGGACCTCTTGGTATGACAGGTTAGAGTCGTTTGATTTCATAGATCTACATTTTCAAGCTCAGTTAAAAATCCTCGTCGCGACTGGCAAGCTATAAGTTTTAGCTCGCATTTTCGGGGGCGGCAATCAGTTGCAGTTGGATTCTTGCTGTTAGAAGAAATCTAAATCTGCGTCACATATTGAGTTGTTGACGTAAGCAAACCGACAAGGTGGCGGGACGGCAAATCTTAACCAGTGCCACAGAACGTCTTTCCCCCCTCTAACACACTTTGACTTCGATGAATCCAAGTCCAAACGCGGTCAACACTGAATTCTTCTTTGTCGAGTACCGTAAACTGACAACAGTGACAATTGTCCGGCATTTTTTTTCTCTGCCTATGTGGGTGAATATGCCTGAGAAAAGGGCTCATATGTTGGGAAAGTCAGTTTCAACTTTCAAGCTAGAAGCCTACAAAGATGTTAAAGTGGTCAATCATCAAAAATGTGGTTGCACTAGAAAATTAAAGTTGAACTATTGTCAACTCATATTCAAGGAGGATTGAGCGAAATTTAAAATAATTTATTTCAAAGTAGTATAAAGATTAGTGAAGTAAAAAAAAATCTTTTAAAAAACTGGCTCAAATTGACCTTTTTTGAGTCACCATTTTGGTCAGATAGGCTTTAATTTTACCTAAACCATACCAAGTTAAACACGAAAATGTTACGCTTTACATCCATTACAATGCGAGTTTAAGGAGAATAAATTCAGATGTTTACTTTTCTCAGGCACACACACTCACATAGAGGGACATAGCATCTTGGTCTTTAGCCATCCCCAACCTGTCCAAGTTCTCTAGACAAGTTATTCTTGGCCTACCCCTGCCTCTTTTGCCTCTATAATGGACGTCCAAGGCCTTTATGCCAGTTCAAGTGAACAATTGTGTAAAAATCAACCGCACTTACAGAAAAAGTAGGAAGGTGTGAAGATACAAACACTTCAGGACTTGAAAACTTGAGAGACATTATCATTCTTCAGATCAATATATTAATCTCCATCAACATTTCTGTCTTTATACTTTCCCGGACTGAGTACAAGCTAATCCTTTTGTTTTTCATATTGAAAATGAGGTATGGTCGAATTCTTATCAACTCAATAAAAACTTACCTTCAGGATGCCAGTTGTCCATTTATTCCCCCCCCCCCCCAACCCCTCCACCCAACTATCTTCTTTTTTAGATCACTAGAGGTCTTTGCTGCTTTAAATATTTGGTCGAAAAACATACTGAAACTAGTGATTTTGAACTGCTTTGATTCCATTTTGTTCCTCTTCAACACACAAAAGATTGCGAACCGAGTTAATCAGCATTCTCTCGTTTTTCTCTATTTGGATGTGTTTTGCTCCAATGCCTATCACATATACTCAGGCAGCAGATCATGGACAGAAGTAGGAAACGGCCCTTCAGGAGCGGGATTATTATCATATTATAAAGCAGGATAATCAAGATACAAGCTTTCAGCATGCAAAGTTTTAGCAGTGGTGTGTTTTCGGTAGAGACCATGAGAACATTCTTGGTACAGCCTTGACAACACTTTGACGGAAAAGCCTTACCCATTCGAGCAGTAGTCATCGTCTAGCTTAATTTCTGTACGGTAACTTTGCAAAGAACTCTGCCCCGCAAAAAACAACAGAGACAGTCCAACTTGATTTCATTATCCATCATCATCATTATTATCATCTCACTTAGGCTTTGTATGTAGCAAAATCCAAAAACCATCCAACAGTAGCTGTCTCGATTCCACGCCCTCCTGCCGGCGTCCACCGCCGCCATACCCACGCGGTCCCTCAAGTCATCTGTCCAACATCATGCTGGTCTACCTCTCTCCCTCTCTCTCTATCTACAAAAGCATTTTTTAACCCTATCCGTACACCCTGGGGTCATTCTGTATCGCCGGGGTTGTATTCGTCACATTTTAGAATACTTCTAGTATGAAGATCTCTTTGAAACTTTCAGTATTTCTAAAAAAAATCATTTTGACAGACTGCAATACAAAGCGTACAGATCGGACTAACAAGTAAATTTCCTTTTTGGAAAGTGGTGGCACAGAGTTCCCCACGTCGTATGGATAGGATAAAAAAACACGACGTACAGCTGGCGTTAAAAACCCACAAGCAAAAACATCAACCATAAATAGAGTCCTTGTTCCAACAGCGAAGAGATTTTTACATCCCTGCATTTCCAAATCACCATCAATCACACATGCAGAAGTTTCGTCACGACGACTGGGAAGGCAGATTCTGGCACGGACTGGCATCCTTAAAGCTCGTAATAAATGAAGAAATTTTCTCCAATTCTCCTTTCACGGCAGCCTCCTCAGACTTCAATCGTTCTTTCAGATTTGTGTTGTCCTGTTAAAAACGCATACAAAAGAGATTAACATAACAAAACATAAAAGAACTTGTTGTTCATTTAGCTTTCAGTAAGAGTTTTTTAAAGTCTTAGTAGAGTTTTTATGGTGCTCGCAACTGCATAAGGTCATATGAGCACCAAGGGGTTGATGTCAACAGAGAAGTCCATACAGGGAATCACGCTTATTCTGCTCACCTCTCTAGCTTCAACAGCAGAAAGTCTGCTTCGACCATCAAGGCAACCCGGAAAGAGCGGGTCACAAGAGTGCGACAAACATACAAAAGAAGTAGATGAAAATGATGATAGTAAGGATTAGGAAAGAAAAAGCAGCAGTTCCCTGTTGCAGTTCAGGCAGTCATGAGCATGACAATGATGAATCAGCCCATTTACAATTCTACTGTGCATAAGAATGGTCTAAAGACAACGTCAGTCAGTAGCACCGTCCCGGGTGGTGAGTAAGAGTTTTATGGCACTTGCAACACAATTAGATCATATAAATGCAGAAGAATAGAGAGGTTACAAGAGAGTAACAAACACAAAAAAGGAGAGATACGGGCATTAGATGTTCGATATGAAAGAAATAGCAATCCACAGCAGAGCAACCAGCAACCACCCACAGAGCTTGTCTGTCAGATTACAAAAAAAACCCCACATCAGCACAATACTGGTAGCTCAGCGCTGGGACAATGCACAGGGATATGATTATGCAATCCTTTAACTCTTTAAACCAGGAGTTTTTTTCCACTGCTTCCCGGCGTTTTTTCTACAATCACCTAAACCTTTTTAGTTTTAGTAGAGGTTTTACAGCGCTCGCAACTGCATAAGGTCATATGAGCGCCAGAAGATTAGAGGTGTTACAAGAGAGTAACACACATAAAAAAGAAGGAGGGGAGATAAGGACGATGGGTGTTTGATAGGAAAGAAGAAGCAAACCACACCAGAGCACCCACTAACCACCCACTCACCTAAACCTGGTGCACCATTTCTCAATATAACCCCAAAAGCTTGACTCCAACTTCTAAAAGGTGGAAACATAGGCTTAGTCATTACTGAAAAAAAACTCGGTTCGGGAATAGTACCGAAAAACAAGCAAAAACTAGCACTAAAATGAAATGAAATAGTTGTCACAAAGCGTCCGATGGGGAACAGGGTTATTACTAACGGACGCTCCCAGCGTCTGATGGGGTTTAAAGAGGACTTGTACTTCCAACTTATCCTCGAAATTTTCTTTCGTGAAAAAGTAAGTCTAGTCACCATTGCATATAATTATAATGTGTGCAATACGAAAATAAAAAAGTAAACTGAGGATGCTACGTTTCCATGTCAATTTTACCTGCGACAGAGACTACAAAGGTTTTTACATTATGAGTAACACTCAGGCATAATACATTCCACAGGAGATACTTCGTTTTAGTAAGAATAAGTGTTTTACGGCACTTGCAACACAATAAGGTCATGTAAGTGCCAAAGATTAGAGGTGATACAAGAGAGTAAAAAACAAAAAAAAAAGAAGGAGGGGAGATAGAGAAGCTAGATTTTTTTATAGAAAAGAAGGAGCAAACCACACCAGAGCACCACCAACCACCCACATGTTTTTTTCAAACTTAATATATCATCCATTCTCTCTCCTTAACTGTTGATTTGGGATTTTTTTTCCCTCACAACAGAAAGGGCATAAAAAGTCTGAAACATTCACATCTCTGAGAGCAAGACAGAAGAACAGAAAGATGCAATTTACAAAGGAGGGGGGAAAAAAGAGCCACCAGTGACACCCTCCAACCACCTGCAACAACATAATTAGGATTGTCTCTCTCTCTCTCTCTCTCCTCTCTCTCTCCCTCTCTCCCCCACACACACACACACTCCCTCCCTCTCATTTTTCACTGCCAATAACAGTTTACATTGAAAAATTACCGAACAGCTAAGAGATAATTAAATTTTTAAATACAAAGTCTTCACTACAAGAAGATTATTATGAAAAAAAAAATTCTCACCTTTGATTTCTCCTCCAATTCTTTTGACCTGGAATCTAAAAATAGCTTCTCTTTCATGATTTCCTTGCTCTCCTTCTGCAGCTTTTTCTTTTCATCTTCTTTGCCTGTTGGAGTACATTTGGAAAAATTAATTTCACTCATCAATCCAAAAAGACAACCTCTGAAAAATTTCCATTAAAAACTAATGCACAAGGGGATATAACTACATGTGTATTGAAAAATTTATCGTTAGTAAAAACCAGCCCCTGCAGTGAAGTCATTAGACACTTTAGTATTGCATGTAGAAAACCTGAGCTTGATTCTTGTGTGGGGATTCATGTGACATATCAAAGGGTCTTAGGCGCCGATAGTGTAATAGGAAAAACACAGGTCAGGGCTTTTTTTTTAAATCACTGCTGTGATTCCTCAAAAAAAATTTTAAAAATTCAATATAAAAAATCAGGAGTCGGCATGCTAAAAAGAAATACTGTGTGCTAACTTTTACGTATTATTTCATAATAAGGAGGATTTTTTTGTATGTCGAAAAATTTTCCACAAAATGCAGTTACAAGTTCAGAGCATTACACCACTCATATATTTTTCACTTTCTAATTGGAGTCTGAGTATCATTTTTAATAACACGCATTATTATTTTCTTTCTTTTTTTTTAAATCAGTTTAAGTGCACATCACCGTTATTCTCCAGCCAAAGTCATGGTAGTCCTGTTCTTCATTGTGAGGTTTCAGTAAATTTTCACCCTCCCATTCTTAAAACAAGTTAAAAAGCATCTCCACGCATGATGTCAAGGCGACCCAAAAGTGGCCCCAAATCTAAAGACCCCAGATAAGAGAACTAGGTCAAGTAAATACCAAAAGGGGAGGGGCTAAAGTTTGTTTTAGTAGTTTTAGTAGAGGTTTTACGGCATTCGTAACAGCATAAGGTCATATGAGCGCCAGAAGATTAGAGGTGTTACAAGAGAGTAACAAACATAAAAAAGAAGAAGGGGAGAAAAGTGTTTGATAGGAAAGAAGAAGCAAACCCCACCAGAGCACCCACCAACCACCCACGCGCTAAAGTTTACTTTACCCACTATGAATAGCTGAACAGAAAACCCCTACTATTGGAACCCTTGATACTTACAAGCCCTTTTGGCAATGTATGAATGAACCCGTTTTAGCGCATCACTATTGAGATGAGTCAGTCCTTTTCCTGAGACCTGAAAAACATGTAAGACAAAGAACGACTATATTAGCTAAGCATCGAAATATGCGTCAAAGTATCACATTGACATTCAAATCCAGTAGTTTAAGCCCACACCATAGTCAGGACGGCAACTCCTCAAACAAAGTAGAAAACACAATTGTGAGTATTCGTGGGGAAATTAGGCACTCGGCAAAATAATAAAAACAAAGAAATAAGCATTTTTTCCACCATTTTGGATATTTTTATCGAAATTTTTGGTTTCTGGCTCAACACCATATAATAACACATTTCGATGTGTATTAGACTAAAAAAGGGTTGATTAAAGGCACAGAATACGTAATTTTTCTGTTTTCAAGGCCACTCAAGCTCTTGAAGAGGCCGAACTTTGGCGGCCATTTTTTCACTAATTTTACCACTGCAAACAGGGGACCCCCACCTCCTTCAATCGCAACTATCTCAACCTCTACTCAAGATGGACAGGTATTTTTTTCATTGAAAACAAGGCAAATGAAAAAGCTTTTAGATGATAGCAATAACTCCACATGCCCAAAAATTGACGAGAGCAGATTCCACCGCATCGTGACACAATTCATTTCAAAGACAACTGTGAAATTAGCATAACGTATGTTACTATAGATTAACAATACTAGTTTAAGTACAGTACTGGAAAGGACATCAACACAATAACTGACGTTTAGTACTGGAAAAAAGCAAGAAAAGTGGGAAATCAGGGTGTCTTAGTACTAGGTGTACTGCTTAAATACAGTCAAACCTGTGTAAAACGGCCACCCATTGTCAAGGAGAAAAGAGGCTGCATAACACAGGTGGCTATCTCAGGCAGGACTGATCAAAATGAACAGAGCAAATCATTCTCTTCTGAGGTCCAAACCGGGGCTGATCTCATGCTTTAGACTGCCAGTATGGCTAAATCAAAAGGGTTTTTGTTTTCTTTTGAAAGGTGGTGTAAGAAGGTTTTTTTTGTGTTGTTTTGTTGGTTGTTTTTTTGGTAAGCTTTTTTTTTTGTTGCTGATTTTGTGCAAGGGTAAAATAAACAAAAAAGTTCATGCCATGTCCATTGTTACTTTGTTACAAAAATTAGGTAAACGAAACAGTGACCGGTCACCTCACACACACAATTTGTGCAGGAGTTGTGGGTGTGGCTTATAGGTTATGACGGCTCACGCTTCCCTCGCCAGCAATTGAAAATTTATTGTTAGGCCTACCCATTGGCCAACTTGGGTAAACATTCATTGGTGGGACAAAATATAATGACAGGTGAATAAATTATGACGGCCCGTCCACAACATGAGGCGCCAATTCAAAATTTATGACAAAGCTTTGGGCAATGAGTGACCACGCCTGACCGCCTGGGGCAGGTAAATTTGTCAGTGCGTTGATAAAATAGGTGGCCGCGGCCGAGAAGGACAAGTTTTCAAGACTAACACAGCCACTAACCAAACACTTGGGGCAGCTCCAGGCATATTTCGGTGCCTCCGTCAACGGGGGATTCAGGCAGTCCAGGTGGTAGACCAAACGACAGGTCTCACACATCAAGAGTTGTCCCCCTTTTCCGCACACGGCGCAGTAGTCATCGTGATTGTCCTTCTAGCGAAAGAAAAAAAAATGCAACACATCAAAGACAAAGTCAGGTGAATTTACCAGCATCTGTGATATAACAGTCCAGCTTTTTACTATGGCACGCATATAATACGTTTTCATCAAAAGCAAGACAGAAGAACAAGCATTAAGATCATATCATTAACTCCACATGCCCTAAAATTGACGAGCACCTAGTTCCACCACGTCGTGACACATAAAATAATATATTTACGGGGTATCAATTCAAAATGGGCGTCACAGAATCACAACATTTAAGTTCAACAAGCACTTGCAAAAAATCACTATTAATCTTCAATAGAACTACTATTCGGGTTGCAACTTACAGTTCTCTTCGTGGGTTTCGAGCCCCCTCGTCGACTAGACATCTCAGCCGCACAGTGTCCGTTACTGCTAGGTTTGGTCACTGTAGAAGAAAGCAAAAAATATTGTCTTTTTTTTAAAACTTTTATTCAAGATTCAGCCCCCTTCCTCTACAAAAATAAATCATTTTGAAAGAGGACAAAGTCTTGGTCATTTGATGTGAAAGCGAATTTTTTTTAATTGTTTTTAGGAATGAGATTCACCCTCCAGCTGAACCAAATTAAATAATTTCAAAAGTGGACCATGTAGTGTTAGGTTTCAGGGTTGTTGTTCTAATAATAATAATAGATAGCATTTGTATAGCGCAAATCCTCACTCAACTGTAAGCTCTATGCGCTTCGCAATCTATACTATTACCCCAGCAGACCTGACAGCATTCTGAAACAAACTCAACTTCCTGGGAAGCATACTTATTCTTCAGACAAAACGAACTCTTCATCAAAGAAAAGGGCATGGAAATAAAGCTCAACAGAAGACACAGTAAGGGCATAATAGCCCTTTTAAAACTGAAAAGTGGGTCTTGGCTCAAGAAGCAGGGTCTCCAAACCTAATTTTTACCTCCAACAGGTCAGGTCAGACACAGCCTTGAAAACTTACCAAATAACTAAAAACATAGACTGACTAGTTAGGGATTCAAACCCAGGTCACCCACGCCTTATTCCAGTTTGGTAAAAACCAGTCAATGGATGTGCCCATATTTTTTATCAAGCCTTATTAAATTAATAGTAAACAAAAGATTTTTAAACATAACGTTTACCTCTGGATTTCTTTGCTGGCAAGGCATTCCACATTTCTGTTCTGTCTCTTCTCTGTGGAATGGCATAGGAAAAATAGATCTCTTTAAAAATATAAATAATAAATAAAATCAATACAGCTTGAAGATTACTGTTCTAACAATTTTGTTACTTATCATTTGTCCAATGAGAATTTTCAGAATCATTTCAATAAAATTGTTCTATTCCGAAAAACACAAAATGTACAGAACCACCTTCACAGCCAGGGTCGTATTTTGAACGTATTTATTTTTCATGACAGACTGCCATAATTAACCACACGTAGACAACAGCCAGAGGTTGAATAAGAATTTGATTTTTTTTAATATACAAAAACGGTAGAAACGGATCAAACATATTAACTTAACTGACATCATAATGTTCATTTAAATGTTTTGCTTTGGTAATGAGAAGCATATCTAAAATCAATAACAGTAGGCTTCGGCCGCCACCCGGGCTAAATTCAAAATTTCCTCCCAACTGAAAAATGTTCAATGTGTCCCGCGCATTCATATGACCTTATGCAACTCTGAGCCCCGTAAAACACTTACCAAAAAAAAAAAGTCAAACAAAGTGTATCCTCCGACCATCCAAACACTATGATGTATAAAAGTAAAAAAAGGGAATAATATTAATAATAAATACTAAAAACCAATAATTTAGTCCCGTATAGCACTCTGATACTCACACTGGCTTCAAAACCTATACTGTACTGTGGATTGGCAGTGGTACGACGTTTGCGCTCAAATTTTCTGCTCCGCAGCTCTGAAAGAGTAAGTTTTAGTTTTAGTAAAAGTTTTATTACGGCACTTGCAACACAATAAGGTCATATATGAGTGCCGAAGATTAGAGGTGTTACAAGAGAGTAGCAAACACAAAAAAGGAGGAGAGATAAGGACGATAGATATTTGATAGGAAAGAAGAAGCAAACCACACCAGAGCACCCGCCAACCACCCACTCTGAAAGAATAAAAAAGGATAATGCCTCTCTTATTCAGAAAAGAAAAGAATTCACTACTGGAAAAAAAAGAATATATTAATAAGGCACAACAAAAAAACCTCTACAACAAGAATAAATAAACAATACATATCCTTTATCAGTTTGTTTCCATAAAGACAAGCACATTGACATAACAAAATAAAGCATTTAGTGCAGGGAAGGAATAAGACAGACAGGCAGAAACAACAGATTTTTTTTTAAAGTAGGAGTCGCTCAGTGTATCGAGCAGCTGTGCTGTGTCCAGTATCCGTTCACCTCTGTACCATTGTCAGTCAATGTCTACTGTCTACCACTCAAACTTCGCCTAATGTTTCTTATTTAAGCCAAGCTTTTGAGTATGACTCGTCCCTCTTTCTTTGTGACAGGACCTACCAGCGGTACTCTTCAACCACCTACTAATTGGGACAACAACAAAAAAAGGAAAAGAAGTAGTAGAAAAAGCAGCCCATGCCACACAGGCCACCAGCCACAAGCACGATATTTGTGGAAAACAATCACTTTCAAAACATTGCAGCAGAAATACGATACTATACATAGGTTGCAAATGCTAGTAAATGGTTAATAATAATAATAATATAAAAAAATAACAATAATAATAATAATACATCATCATTACAATAATCATAACAACAGTAATAAAGGAGATCATTCAAAAACTAACTTTCCCATTCTAGAGTTGAACTAACATCTCCTACAGGTGACAATAAAGAGCATTAACACTCTGCCGCCTCATCTTGATGATTGGCGATGTTTACAGTTTACCACCTAGTTTCTTTGAATTTTCCCCAAAATATGATGGCAAAGTGTTAAAGCGACACCACAGACACAGGTTGTGCACCACGCACACATCAATGAAAATTTACTAGACGAGCACTTTCACAGGAAGAAAACTTTCACAATACAAGAACTTAAACAGGAAGAGAACTTTCACAAGAACAAAACTTTCACTAGAAGAGAAATTTCACTGAAATTTGACAAGAAGAGGACTTTCACAAGAAGAAAACTTTTACACGAAGAAAACTTTCACAAGTAGAGACAAAAAAGAGAACTTTTTTAGTTTTAGTTTTAGCAGAGGTTTTATGGCGCTCGCAACTGTATAAGGTTATATGAGCGCCAAAGGGTGGATGTCAACAGAGAAGTCCTTAAAGGGAATCAGACTTACTCTGCTCACCTCTCTAGCTTCAACAGCATAAAGTCTGCTTCGACTATCAAGGCACCCCGGAAATAGCGGGTCACAAGAGTGTGACAAACATACAAAAGAAGTAGAGGTAAATGACGATCGTAAGGATTAGGAAAGAAAAAGCAGCAGTTCCCTGTTGTAGTTCAGGCACAGTTATGAGCATGACATTGTTAGATCAGCCCATTTACAATTCTACTGTGCATTACAACGACAAATGTCCCGCGGTAAGGAAAACTTTCACATGTAGAAAACTTTCATACAAAGAGCACTTTCACACGAAGAGAACTATCAATAAAGAGAGGACCTCACCTTTGATTGCCTCCGGTGTGTACAGTCCAAGCACTTCCATGAACTTCACTTTCTGAAAAGAGCATAGGAAATTAACATATTTTCAAAAAGTGATTCACTAAAAAATCAATCAAAGAGAGGGAGGGGGGGAAAACCAAACCCAAAGAAAAATACTTCTCCCAATTCCATGAAGGCTTTCCTTTTCCTTGACAACTCTTGTTTCAATACACGAAACAGTCGTCTTTTAGAAATTACCATTCTAAACATAAACTATTGTTGAAGATGACAGTACCATCTCAAAAATGACATTTCACTGTAAAAATTGTTTGACCACTCCCCTTTTCAAATGCATAAGGAAACATACTCTGAAATAAAAAGCTTTCTATACCTCCTGCTCCTGGTTCATCTGTCTGACACCCAACACAGCCACTCGTTGCTGCTGCTGCTGCTGCTGCTGATGATGATGATGATGTTTCTCTCCACCTTGCTGCTGCCGCGGTTTCGGCTGCTTCAGCGCCTCCGTTTTGGGCTGCTGCTGCTGAGATGACTTCTCTTTCTCTTTCGCCTGCTTCCCAGCACTTGTGACGGGCTGCGGCAGGTCCTTCAGCACAGCGTGTGGTTTGGCACTAGCCAGAGTCGTGCTGGCACTGGTGGAGGTAGAGGACTTGACACTCGCCGTCGTTATCCCAGAGTTATTCGGTGCAGGGGCAATGTTGCAGTACTGAGGGGCACAAAAGGGGATTTTTTTAAAACATGACTTCTTATAAATAAATATCCTCTACATTCCTTGTTGGGGTGGGTGGGAATTCATTTTGTTTTTGTTTGATCTGTTTGAGTAATAAAGTGCACATTGACACAATAGTCTCTTTTGTTTTAGTAAGTGTTTTACGGCACTTGCAATACAATAAGGTCATATAAGTGAAGAAGACTAGAGGTGTTACTAGAGATTAACAAACACAAAATAGAAGGGAGGAAAAGATAAGGACGAAAGATGTTTGATAGGAAAGAAGGAGCAAACCCCACCAGAACACCCGCCAACCACCCACACAATAGTTTTGTTTCAGGGGAAAAGTTGAACATATAAACAAAACAACAGAAGGAAAGAAAAGACATACAACCTACCAGTGGCGTCCTCCAACCACTTGTGAATTAATTCTGTGCTAATGACACTCATACAAATAGTGGGCATCTAAAAAAAAAGACCCATACACAGTGCAAGGCTTGCCTCGTTTTTTCAGTTAAATCTGTTCAAGCTTCACTTGAATCAGGAACAAAACCATTACACAAAATTTAAAAAGATTTGCGCATAATTCAAGAAATAACAAATTTCCCAAAACGCTATGGTTTTTGTGGGTTCACGATAATATGTCCTTATTCAAACGCACTCCTTAAGGGATGTTTTGATACTGAAAAAATCCATTTTTTAAATTCATATCTATATTTTATCAATCCAAACGAAAATCTACATAATTTTTTTTAATATTTTTTTTTTTTAAATCATCATTTAATCTATTTTTTTCTTTACTTTAATTCCTATTTCCTGGTCCAATGAGGTGGTAAGATACTGACAAAGAACATGCCTTAACTATTTATCAGAAGACACACTCATTTCAAGGAGCAAGGTCCGAAATAATGGAAAAGCAAGGCACAAAGAAGAACACTCTATCTAAGTCTGTATTACTTTAACGGCTGACAAAGTCAAATGAACATAGTTCTGTCAAGAAAAGAACCTAACTCAAAGATCTTTGGTAGCCCTTCTTATTCATATACAAATCAAAAACACAATACAATGCAGAAAGACAGTGGGTGTTTGTTGGGTGCTTTGGTGTGGATTGCTCTTTCTTTCCTATCAAACATATATCGTCCTTATCTCTCTCCTCCTTTTTTTTTGTGTTTGTTACTGCTTGCAACACCTGTATTCTTTGGCTCTTATATAACCTAATTGTGTCGCAAGGGCCGTAAAAGGCTTACTAAATTACTTTTTTTCAACGCAGAAAGACAATGTCACAGGCTCTTTCCACATGTATCAAAACTCAAATCTCACTGCTGAGGTAGAGGTAGTTTCATTCCCATTTGGGGCAGTATTTTATCGAGTATCTCTTTCCTTACGTTGGATCCTCTCAGCCAAAATTGAAGCAGCTTGCCTCCCAGATGGCGCATTTTGCTTCAGGCACTCATATTTAAACTCTTTATCTCCGGCAAGCCGCTCCCTGCAGTTCACAATCAGAACCACTGTGCCGGTAAGCCGCTGACTGCGGCCGGGGCACATTTCTTTACGGCGACTTCCACATTAAATTACTTTTTGGCAATTGCCGAAAACAGGTCTCTTATACCGGAAGATCATTCATTAGATGAAGAACTATCAAAATAGGTTTGTTAGTTTCTATTAAATTACTTATTTAAGGACGTTTTGTCAATTTTAGATGTAGCACCAAAGAAGGTCCCGGGCGTATGGGAGAGTTTGAATCTTAACACAGATGCAATGTCAAAGTCAAAGTACTGAAAGCAAGGCAATCACCACCAAAAAAAACCCAGTAAATAACACAGAAATTCAAATACTACTAGTTGACCCTCTTTATCCATTCCAACCACTAAGAAACAGAATTAGAGATGTTCATTTCTATAACCTACTGTGACAGGAGTCCAGCCAAAGGGCATTGCAAAATCAAAGAGAATTTATGAGAAACATAAAACCCGAGAGATTGTAAAAAGGTTAACACACACCATCCTTACAAAATGTCCAGCAAATGTTCTTAAAAGCAAGCCCCACAAAGTCTGTCTAATCTTTTCCAACCAATTATTCATGAAGGGGGAAACAAACAAAAATATTCTACTCTATTCTTCTCTGAAATCCACACAAGATTTTCTCACATATTTATTTTAAAAATAATCCATAAACACATTGACATAAGAAAAACAAAAATACTCAATCTACCTACTCATTAGGGATCTACATCCCTGTCACAGAGATCTTTCAAAACTTTTAGAAAAACTTAATATTACCCTGTCAAAGAAAATTTTCAACTTTTTTGTTTAAGAGCCTGATCCTGCTGATTTCATGATGATCCATAGCACTTCAACAAGAGCCTGACTTTATCATTTTTATAAATTATACTTACTTCATATGATCCATCACATCCATAAAGTTAAGAGGAGAGACTTTAAACATGAGAAGCAAACTTTGAACTATAAAGCCTAGCTCAGAAATCCCTTTTGCTAATCACTTTAGGCAAAGGAAAAGGTATAGAAGAGCAATAATAAGACTTAAGATTTTCAATTTTCTAAAGACACTACAAATATGTAGTTTTCAAGCATTTGCTCTGAATTTACACAATATCTTTCCAAATGTAACCAAGCACTTCTCTACAGCTATTCAAAGAAGACGCAACTTTTTCATGCAATAATGTATGCACATACCTGCACAGTGGATGCACTGACGAGTGGCCGGACGTGCGAAGCTGTGTACTGTGGCACTTTGATGGGCAGGTGAGAGGCCAGGCGTTGTGGCGGGGGCTGCTGCAGCTGTAGGACAGGCTGTTGCTGCTGCTGCTGGATCATCTGCAAGATCTGCTGCTGCTGCTGATGCAGCAACTGTGGCTGAACCAGCGGCTGATGGTGAGGGAAAGGCGAGACGATGACATTCGCGTTGGATGCACTGATGACGCCAGTGGTGGGGCTGGTGGTGATGGGCGGGGCGGAGTGGGAGAAGGAGGCGTTGGTACAGGCCAGGCTGCTATTTACAGCAGCGGTATTGCTGCTGCTGACATTGGTCACAGCAACGACGTTGCTGCCACCGCTGCTATTGTTGTTGTTGCTAATGATGTTGTTGTTGCTGATGATACTGCTGTTGCTGTTGTTGAGAGCAAGGTTGCTGCTGTTGATAAGATTACACAGACCAATGAGGCTGGCACTGCTGAGTTCACCCGAAGACGCTGCGCCGCTGGCAACCGCCACAGAAGATGAACCTATACTGGAAGCCACCATGGCACTGTCACTCCCACCATTAGACGACGCACTCGAAACAGCAGAAGCTGTATTGTTGTTAGTGACGAGAGCACCACCACCGCAGCTGAAACTGGTTCTGGTCCCGTCCAAAACAGCCACGGTCGCCGAACTGCTGTTCACGGCAATGTTGCTGGGAATGATGTTAACTGCCGCAGCGCTGTGGTTATTGCTGTTGCTGTTGCTGCTGTGGTTGTTGACGCTGGCCACACCTCCTATGGCTACGCCAGCGCCAGCGTTGATGTTGCTGAGGTTGATGCCGCTGCTGAGGATGCCGGTGGGGACCAGGGAGAGGTTGGTCGCCTGAGATAGGGGCACCGCCCCAGCGGTGTGGAGGGTCATGCCCACAGCCGGACGCTGAGAACACACATCAAGTCTTTAGTTTTTTAGTTTTAGTAAGTGTTTTACAGCACTTGCAACACAAAAAGGTCATATGAGCGCCAGAAGATTAGAGGTGTTACAAGGGAGTAACAAACACAAAAACAAAGGAAGAGAGATCAGGCCGAGAGATGTTTGATAGAAAAGAAGGAGCAAACCACACCAGAGCACCCGCCAACCACCCACGTTTTTAGTTTTTCTCTGTTAAAATAAAGAAAAACACATCCACAGTACATAAAGAGAACAGGTGCACCCCTACACCAGAAACATTGAGGCATATAAAAAAAACACCCTACTACTGATTGAAACACCTCCTGTTGGCGAGAGAACAGAATACTTGAATCCTCTGCTCCACCCCCCCACCCCCATCGGTAGCTCCCTTTCTCTGGACCCTCTTACTCAAATGATGACCACATAAGCCATTTGTACTTTTGCAGACGAACCTATTTACCACACAAGTGGCAGTTGGTATTCTTTTTAAAGGAAAGGTAGTTTTTTGTGGGTTTTTTATAGTAGAGAGTTTTATGGCGCTCGCAAACTGCATAAGGTCATATGAGCGCCAAGGGGTGGGTGTCAACAGAGAAGTCTTTACAGGGAATCAGACTTAGACAGCTCACCTCTCTAGCTTCAACAGCACAAGGCACAAGGTCTGCTTCGACTATCAAGGCACCCCAAAATAGCAGGTCACAAGAGAGTGACAAACATACAAAAGAAGAGGAAAATGACAATAGTAAGGATCAGGAAAGAAAAAGCAGCAGTTCCCTGTTGTAGATCAGGCACAGTTATGAGCGTGACATGAGTCAGCCCACTTACAATTCTACTATGCTTGAACGAGAAATGTCTCCCCTTTGGGAATGGCCTAAAGACACTTCAGTCAGTGGCACTGGAGGTAGTTTGAATTGCCCCACTGAACTCAAATTTAAGACTGCCTGCTCTAATTCAACAGTCTGTGTTATCATTCACTTTGAGCACATTTCCTAACCTTTACCACAAAAGCGTTTGTACCAATTAGCTGACTGTCCTGTTTATGCTTTCTCTTGTTCTAAAAACAGTATTTGTCAAACAAATTTTAAACAGAGTGGTTTTAAAAAATGCATAAAACATGTGGTTGGGCCAGTCCTTTACTGTCTGTAAAAAAAAACTAGCTTTGTCAGTTCATCATTCTTCCGTTTCTGAGTTTTCTTGCAAATAAGCTTTTTCATCATGCATGCTGTCTTGTAGGAAACTGGGACACAATCACAGAATCAGCACTTAACTACAGAATCAGCGAAAGTAATAAAAATTGAGTATCGCATCATGAATTTGACATCGACAGGAGAGTCTTGTCCAGGGTGGGTCCAGACAAGAATATAAATGTCTCCCACCCCCATCTCGAGGCCAGTGCCTTGGCTTAATGGTCAATAAAAGTACTTCTTGCTTGAAGCTCTCATAGGAGATGAATGAACAGTATGTAAATTAGGACTCTTTTTTTCATCAGGATCAATATGACCATTATTTTACAAATGTAACCGACATAAATATACCACAAACATAGTCAGACAATTCTCTTTTTGTACGTTTCTTACATTTTAACAATTTTTGAGACTTTGAGGGGTTTTTTCTTAACAGTGTTTGTACAGTTAGGACAACCATTTTCCCTTAAATTGAATACACATTTACGCCCTTATAAAAGAACGAAATTTTAACCCAAAAAAACAAAAATATTAGTAAGAAACAGACAAAACAAAAACACACAGGGACTGGGCAAAAAGTAGACAACTATCTCTATAATGACGTCAAAACAAGATAAAAATGTAAAGAAATCAGACCTGCATGTGCGCTATGGGAACAGCAACCATGCCCACAGGCAAGATGGCGGCTCCTCCTTGTGTGGGGAAAGACACAAGTCTCGGCTGGCCAATAGCTGTGATGGTCTGGCCTACTGTCACCATGGGGGCGGGGCTTTGCTGGGCTTGGCCCGTAGACTTCACCAGACTCTCTCTTAACTTTACAACAATCTTTTTCTGCACAAGAAAAATTGAAAAGACGATAGTTTGGCCAGGTTACTAGGTCTGAACCCAGGGAGATAGTACATAAAGAAAACAGGTTTGTATTGCTACATTTTGCTACAAACACGAAAAGGACTACACAACCACAGAAAGGAAGACGCAGACCACACCATAGCCCCAAACATTCACCCCTGAATACATACATTTTTAAACTTCTGAACAAAATTTATCCATATTGCTACCGAAATCCTGGATATGACCATTTTTTAAATTGTATTATTAATCATAATCATCATAAATACAATTATAATATGTGACTCGTGCTGACAAAATGAGTTACTTCTCGGATTTGAGCCCTATGAAAATAGATACATTATCATGCTTATTTAAGTTTTTACAATTTGTAAAAGTAGGAAATAACAAAAGGCATTTAGTACTTAATGAATATTGCATCAATAGAAAACCTTGAAATTTGTCCCTACTGTCGATTTTTGGCCAATATCTGCATTTGTGAATTGTGAGAAGTAACTCATTTTGTCAGCACGCCTCACATATTATTTCTCCAGAAGTCTGAGTCTAAGATCCTGGTGCATACAAATCAGGAAAGAGCAAGATAAGATGCAAAAAGAAATAAAAGTGTGAGTGGAACATAAGAAAAAACCCCAGCACAGATATAATGTGTCACGGCACGGTGGAATCAGGCGCTTGTCAATTTTTGGACATGTGGAGTTATTAATCATTTTCAGGCTTGTTCATAAAATGGCCGCCAATGTTTGCTGACTTCCAAAGCTTGAGAGCGCTTAGAAACCACAAATTTACTTTTTTTTTCCCTTAAATTAACATTTTTTAAAATCCACTCAGAAATATCCTTAAATGGACTTTCAAGGTGTAGAGTAAAAAAATTGAAATTCGATAAAAATTGTCAAACAGACAGAAAAATGTCAGTTTTGCCCATTTCCTTACTTTGACAAGCGGCTGATTTCATCACGATGTCTCACATATATTATAATCTCCAAGCCCCATATTGAGAATTTTTTAAACTGTGACCTCAAAAACATTTTAAATTTCAGAGACAAAAGTCATGAACATTGTACTGCCCAAGTCAAAATGGATCACAATGTGCCATAATTATCCACTTTTCAATCTTAAAATCACCCTATACATGTAGTCCTCATAGCCTCATTTGAACCTCCTCTCTGGTGACAGAAAAAGAAAGCCCTCATTCTTGATATATATGTGTGCTTATGAGCAATTGACCTTTTTCTTTTTAGTAAAAGAGTTTTACAGCACTTGCAACACAATAAAAGGACATAGAGCCGAAGATTAGAGGTGTTACAAGAGAGTAACTAACACAAAAAAGAAGGAGGGAAGATAAGGATGATAGATGTTTGATAGGAAAGAAGGAGCAAACCACACCAGAGCACCCACCAACCTCCCACCAATTGACTTTGCACAAAACATGTTTCTTTTTATTTGTCACCGATTAAAGAAAGTACTGTTTATCAACAGAATAATAAGAAAATATTGAAATCCAAACCTCATAAAAAGTTTTCAAATTCAGACACAGAAAATCTTGAGTCAACCTATTCCTATGTCATGTGTCAAATACCTACTCCACAAGAAAAAGCTTTTAAAGTCTCATTAACAACAACACTTGTAACAAGCCGAAAAATAAATGGAATTCAAATTATTTACTCCTTGGGTCCACATTCTTTATCCCCCAAATGTATCACATTCTTTGTTTTGTATGGACACTTTAACTACTTCCCCTAAAATTCTTTTAATTTCATTTGTTTAAATTTTAATTTGAATTCAAAAATCTGTGAAACAAACGGTACTATCCTGCTTATCTTACAGACCATTTCTATTTTATTCAAAACCAAATCTAACATAGCAAAACAATCTACATAATTAGCTTACCTGCTCCTCACTAAGTCTTTTGATTTCTTCTTGCAAATCAGCAAGCTTTTTCTTGAAAGCAGCACTCTGAAAAGAAGAACACTAGCAAATTATTCAACATATTTCCAGACATTTAACATACAAATATCCAGTAACTTAAGACATACGTAAATTTTGGGCAAATCTTGAACTTTATACACATGACAGGTGAAAGCATTCAATACCTTTTAGTCCAAGTCTAACAATATCCCAACCCAGTTATAAAATCAAGAATTTTTTTTACATTTTGACAAGACCAAGATTATGATAGACGCCTATCACAATCAAGAACTTAGAAAAAGTGACAGAATAACCATTTTCAGGGACAACAATAGCTTTAAATAACAAATATGATGTATAAGGACCACCAGAAAGAAAGAATAATATCTGGGAAATGTGAGCAAGTTTCTACGGCTGTTATTGATTTTTTAAGTCTAGCATGTCTTGCAATACTTTCCTTCTCTATGTACAATCAAACAGTGAAACAGTACCTGATTGTTATCTCCTTTCATTTTAACCACCAACATCTGAAAAACAAGAAAAAGAACATGACCGCACCAAAAACTATCTAAATCAAATATGTCTATTAAGTTTAACAACAACAAAAATCGATAAACAAGAAAATGAACCCCAAGTTAGGCGAGTGTTGCCTTCCCATGGACGCGACACGGCACAGGGAGAGCACACACACGGCGAAACCATGGTAATGGCATTCAGTCTTCGACACTTCGAATCCAATCGATGACATTATGCCTCAAAATGATACGTGGAAAACATCCTAAGTAAACAGATATACTTCAAAATAAGCATCACTCATTCGTTCAAACGACTTGACAACACTGCGAAGGAACTTTCAGTTCTAGAAAAACAAAGTTGTACAACGCTGGAAGAGGATGGGGAAAAATCAATATCTTAGGACGAGTGGGGTATTGCTGAAAAGATTCATTTCTTACCTGATGGCTTTGAATAGCTGCTTTCAATTTGCTTTGAATAGCGTTCACTTCCACCCTAGACATTTTGAAAATGTTAGTATTAATCCGTGGCACTTTAACAATCACTTTAAGTAGAATCTCTGCGAAAATCAAGTAGGTCGAACTTGTAAACACCCTTTCCCATTATGAGGTATCAAGCAGTGGTGTGTGTGTCGCTCTCGAGAGGGAAAAGTTATTTTTACGTTTCGAGAGCTTATTTGCCTCTCATGGCGAATAAACATTTCAATGAACTTCCTTATTCGCTAGGCCTAATGCAAATAGAAAGAAGCACTAATATCACTAATAAACCCAACAACAACGTCTTCCGAGCTTTAAGCGTATGTTTGCTAAGCATTTTTTCTAAGGCTGTTCTTTAGGCAAACAAAAAAGTTTGAAATGAAAATGTTTTAAGCAAGTAACTTGTTTCAACACGCGGTACTTGCTAAACTTATTCAGTATCGATACCAACAGCCCACAAAGATCCTGGTCACGAAACGGCGTTGGCCTAGGCCGAGGCTAGGCTACATAATGAATGATTCATATTGGCGAATAAACAGATTTGGATAAATAACCTTATTCGGTAACATTAACAAATAACCTCGATCTTATGGTCATGAACTTTGCTTTCGATATCATCAGGTCAAGTTTATCATTTGTGCCTCAGGATATCCATTGATTTATTTTTTTTAATTATCTCTAGTTACATTCTCTTTTCTTTGGAAAATTCATGTTTCATTCGATAAAAAAAACACACTATACATTTTGAGCTATTTTTCTTAGCGCATTAACACAGTCAGACCGCAGTGCGCCTTCGGAAAAATTAACCGTAAATCCACGTAGGCGTAGGCCAAGGGCCAAACTAAGAAGCTTTCGTTCAAATCACAGAATTCTGTGGTTCAAATACAATGTAACACCACAAAGCTCGTCCTCTTTTCTGTGTCGTGCGATAGTGGCCTAAAACTAAAAAACACCGCACATTATAATATGATGTGAACGTCTTGTTTATTTACCATAGTGTATTATGAGAAATGAAACAGACAACCAGGGACATTACGAGCGAAGTGAAATTATAATTTAAAAAGCCGATTCGTTGCACACACACACACACACACACACACAAACA